GAACCTCACCCTCTATCCTTGTGAAGTGACAAAATAACACATAAAAAGTGAACTGCACAGATGTGAGGAGAAAAAAAAATGCCAGTGTACTGTATATACATTGGCTAGGCCTTGCGGACCAGTATAAAAGTTACTCCTGGTCTTAGCCATAAGCATGTGGTGTCATGGCCAGAGTGCCACGGGGTGACAAACCCATAATGTTACTTAAGCACCCCCCAGGGCACCACTCCTCGGGGGGGCTTGACATTGCAAACTCCCTGCCTTCCCAGCCCATGACCAGACAAGGTAGACCCGGTCAAACCAGGAGGCACTGGGACTCTCCAGATCCCGAACCAAAGGAACTTCTCCTGATCCCCACTCTTTCATGAGTGGATGCTTAAATCCCTTAACCCTGGCCAGAACCCTTTGGGATCTCCATCAACTCAGGCAGGGTACTCTGCAGCCAGCCATTCCTCCCATAATGCCGGAACAGCGGTGCATTTCCCCTCCTGAACACCTGATAAGAACAGATACTACACGAGATCCAAAAGGCCGAGAAGTAGGGCTTGGGAACCATCAAGACAACATAACCAGTCCCCAGCCCTACTTCATGGAAGCCATGGTTTCCATTCATTGCATCCAGTTGGACTGGACAGTTGATTCCTTTAGTCCCTTTTCACCATAACCTGGTTATACTGTCTTGTTGGGTCCCAAACCCTACCCCATAGAAGCCATGGTTTCCATACACTGCACTGATGATGGCCAACGAGCCTGAAAGAGCTGTATGCTGTTTGGAATAAATGGCTCTATAACATTGGGCTGTATCTCACTAGCGGTTCTGGATGTACATCTAGCTGGTGCTCAAAAGTGGAGTGATATCCCCTATTAGATGTCTTCATTGGGAGATTTCCACTCATTTCCTGTTTCGGTGACAATTACATTTTGGTGTCCCCTCACTTTCTGCCCAGTAACAATGATCACCAGGACAAATAGAGAGGGTGAATCCCTCCAGTGGGGTAGCATAGACAGCAATGTAGCCGACAGGGGGGTCTAACCATTCCACTGTTCATCCAAAACTAATGATAAATTTGGGATTTGTGTGAAAAAGAGGATCTCGCTCTTCCTGTTGCATAATAATTGAACCAGACTCCCTCATAATGACTGTGGCAGGAGGGTGGAGTTGGGAACACAGATACCCTGCTGCCAACATCAGTTTTTAGGTGGATTCACCCTTCGGTGCATCATTCCCGAGATGTAGAACGTGTCCGGGCAAACACACAGAGGGTATCATTGAAGAACTCACGTTGGAACACGGGGGGATTATCACCGGACAGGAATAGCCAATTATGAAGATCTTGGAGGGAGTCCGTGTTTGGGATTGCTGGACTCCGGCGCAGTGATGATTTAACAAGGTCTTATTAAAATATTATATTACCGGGACTCATCCCGAAACTTGAGAGCAGATAATGTTCTGAGCATTATGTCCGAACTTAATTTATCGCTTAAAGGTCCATCGGCGCCTGAAAATCAGCCAAGCTGCTGACATGTAAAATAAATGGTAACACCATTTCTAAAATCTTATTGCATCATTAACATGGTCGAGTCATTTATAATATTTTGAAAGCTGAAATTTTAGGCCTCATTCACACGAGAAGGCCGGCACGTACAGCTCGGTGCTGCGTGCACGGCCGTATCGTGCAGCTCCTGGGAAGCACAGGTGCTGCGTGTGATTAGTACGCAGCCCCCGTCCTTCTCTATGGGAGTACACAGCCATATGCCGCCCTACGCTCACCCCAAGTGCAGGTCCGTGCGGGTGTTTCCGGGCTGGGACGCAGACAGGATCCATCTTGTCATGGTACGAGTACGGACACCCGCTCGGACGTGCAGGGTAGGAGAAGGACAGGGGCTGCTTACTAATCACACGCAGCACCTGTCCTTCCCGGGAGCTGCCCGATACGGCCGTGCACGCAGCACCGAACTGTAAGTGCCGGCCTTTTCTCTTGTGAATGAGGCCTTAGTCTTACATTTTGCCTCCCCTAGTCCCCCTTCCCCCCTCATCAACATACAAATAACATTTTAAATGATTTGCTTACTTTGCATATAGACCACCCTAGGTAATGCCCCATTATGATGCTGAGCCTCCATGATTGAAAGAACTGAATTCCAATGAATGAAAGGTTCAGCCTGAAACAGTGAGGCCGGGGAGGAAAGGACGAGCTGATGCTGACCGTCCTCCAGACAGGAAATGAGGGGCGGGCTCTATCTGACTTGCTGCAGCTTCTAATGCACAACGTGAGAAGCTCCCAGTGTGCAGTGACATCAGAAGAAGTGATTTCACAGACAGTGCAACCAGACCTGATATTTAATAGGGCTGGTAATGATTAACATTTTCGTGTTCGATTAATCGAAATTGTTTTTAATCGATTCATTTCGATTAATTATAACGCACATACAGATCCAACTACATTGGCCTATACACATACAGCACAGCAATGAAGTAATAAAATGAACTAGGATCACACTAATCCAGCACGTTATTAATCTCACGTGCCCCATTCAATATGGCCGCCGCTTGAGTGGGGCAACTCAGAATAATAAAGTGCTGGATTAGTGTGATCCTAGTTCATTGTATGACTTCATTGCTGTGCTGTATGTGTATAGGCAAATGCCTTGGCTGGCGCTCGTGCAGAAAGTTTCTTGGGCAAACTCACCGGCCCAAGTGGCTCCGTCGGCGGAGAGGTGAGTGTTTTCATTAGCGATCAAAATAATTTTAATCAATCAAAAAGTTTAACGATTATTCGAGAAATTAATCTTTCATTTCCACAGCCCTAATATTTAAGGATTGAGATTTGCTGAATCTCTTGAGGACATTTTATATCTCTCTATAGGTAGGGTGTAATGACTGTGCTATGGGGGGCCGGAGTTGGGAACTCAAATCTCCCACTGATGAAAAAGGTGTCTGTGGGTGAGCCAAACTCTATTGACCTCCACATCCCTAATAGCGTTTGGTTGGAGTGACCCTTCAAAAGCAAACTGCACATATAACACAATGAATCCCAATAACATTTTAAGAGTTGTTCTAAAAAAACAAACATGTTTTGGGTCAACAGACGAGCCAATTTCCCCCAAGAAGTCCAGGAGTGACTCTGCGTTCAGCGTTTTTAAAAGGAGGAACTCGTCTGTCTCCACGGAGTGGAAGTCCGTCAGGATCGGCCCCGAGCAAGAGACGGCGGAGAATAACCTGACGGCCGTGCGTGTGATGGTGCTAAGTGACGAGAGCAGGTGACCAGATTTCACTATTGACCCCTTTTTTTTTTTACTGTAGACAGCAGTAATCTCCTTTCCCATGTAACTGGTTTACCACTTTCCCCATAGAGCTGTAGGAAAAACTATTGGCATCCCCGGTATGGTCCATAGGTTTACTGCCCTGGGAGATGAAAGAGTTAATGTCATAAGGGATGCCAAGGTATACTACATTGTTACGCCATCGGGACTGATACCACGACTATAGTAATGGCAGACCCTCCAACTTAGCACTCTTGTAGACAATTTCAGCGAGTGTAATAGAAAATTGGGGAGGTGATAAGGATCTGCTGTAGTGAAGTATTATTTTAATGTAATGAAATAAGAACGAAAGGTCCCCTGAATGAATTATAGTTCTGACTGTACACCTGTGCCAAAACAACATCCAATACCTGTATATGCCATCTTACAGCTCGGACATGGAGAGTGGCCCTCAGGAGAATCATGGAAGGATTCATCGCAGGAGACTCTCATCAAAGAAAAAAGAGAGATCCTCTGAGACCGAGAAAGATGCCAGGGACAGCCCAGGACACCCATCTAAAGCTGTCGATGGTGAGTGATATAGATACACTGCGTGGCCAAACGTTTGTGGACACCTCACTGTCACACCTCTATGTGATGTTGGACATCTCATTCCAAAATCATGGCCATCAATATGGAGTTGGCCTCCACCTTACAGCTATAATGGCCTCCACACCTCTGGGAAGGTTTCCACAAGATGGCGGAGTGGGTCAGGTACTGATGTTGGATGAGAAGACCTGGCTCACAATCGCTCTTCATCTCCAAGCTTTTTCATAGGGCTGGTCAGGGCTTTATTCATGACACTTGGGTTCCCCCACAACAAACTCATCAGTCCATTTAAGATGAGAAGATCTGGCTTGCAATCTGGTTCAATTTCATTCCAGTTGGGTTGAGGCCAGGTCTCTGTGGAGGCCACTTGAGTTCCTCCACACCAAACCCATCAAACCATGTCTTTATCTAGCTGGCCTTGTGCACAGGGAAAAGTCATGCAGGAATAGAAACGGGCCTTCACCAAACTGTGGTCAAAAGGGTGGAAGAGCGCAATTGTCTAAAATGTCTTTGTATGTTGTAGCATTAACAGTACCGATCGCAGGCAACACGTGAACTCAACAACATGGAAGGTTCTCCGCATACTTATGGCCATATAATGGAGATGCTTTTCCTGTCCTCTTGTCAACCACAAGGCATGAGAGAGAGAAAGAGAGAGAGAAAGAGAGAGAGAAAGAGAGAGAGAGAAAGAGAGAGAGAGAGAGAAAGAGAGAGAGAAAGAGAGAGAGAGAGAGAGCTGTAGGTTTTGTAACACTATAACCCAAGTCCCAACATGCACCCTGTGCCACCTATAGCAGTGTCTCTCTCTCTTTTTGGTATCAGCATGCATTCTTATGTGACCAGGACATACTTGCCTCTAGACCCCCAAATCTGTTAAATCTACCATGGACCTTTGCATTGGCCTTCTGGGTAATGCTGGGCACACACCTTACAACCATCGCAAGACTTTAGTCTTGCGATGGTTGTAAGGAAATTAAAAAAAACGTACGATCTGCCTATCTTGGACAGGCAGATCGTACTTGCGATGATCGCAAGCCCACCCCGCTGAGGGGCGGGCTTCCGATGACCACAATGCCGAAGGGGCAGTGTGCGCTTGCGCACACCGGCCCGTCCGGCTTTTATCTTACGAACATGCTACACACGCGCCGAAAATCGTACGATTCTTGGCGGGTTTTCGAAAATGTTAAGGTGCCAACACACCTTGTGATAATCGTACGATAATCACAGGAAATCCAGCGATCGCACGATTATCGTAAGGTGTGTGGAAGCCGTGCGACCTCTACTACTGTAAGGTCGCACGACTTTTATCTTACGAACATGTTCGAAAACCCGCCGAGAATCGTACGATCTGCCGTTCAGCATTGCGGTCATCGGAAGCACGCCCCTCAGTGGGGTGGGCTTGCGATCATCGCAAGTACTGTCCAAGATAGGAAGATCGTACGTTTTGTTAATTACCTTACAACCATCGCAAGACAAAAGTCTTGCGATGGTTGTAAGGTGTGTGCCCAGCTTTCGTAAGATAAAAGTCGTGCGACCTTACAGTGGTAGAGGTCGCACGGCTTCCACACACTTTACGATAATCGTACGATCGCAGGATTTGCCGCGATTATCGTAGGATTATCGCAAGGTGTGTGGGCACCCTTAAGCCTGAAAATGACAGCGACCCTTTTGCAATAGTAAATCCAGTTTTATCTTGCTTGGAGGACTCAGTAAGTTTCATTCATAGATCAGTGATGCCATCTGCTGGAGAACTGCAGTAATACAAATCCCACAGACCATCATTTGTTAGTCTGCTCAATTTTCCGAATAACTACAGAAATGACACATTTATAGGACAGCACAATAAAAGGCCAAACAAGTCTATTAGTGTGTTCTCAGGAGTAGTGACACGATCATGCCCAATGTGCTCCTGACAAACATGCTGGGGTCTTGGGTTCGCATATAGCAGTCACCACTATGACCTTTCTCAGTGGACTCTGGGGCTGTTGGAGCGACCCATAAATTACTGACATGCCCACCTGTATACAAAAGAGGGTAGTTGGACATCCCTTAACCTCAACATGTAAAGTGAACCTGTCCTGTTCGCCCTACTAGGTCAAGGAACAAGTTACATTTAAAGGAGGCACCTTATTCAGGGTGCGCTCCATCCCCCATACTCCACTGCCATCTAAATCTGTGGCCAGAATCCCAGTTCACTGTTTGACTTTTTGAAAGTCAAAATCTGCATAGGCTATAGAAAGCACCTCCCACCTCCATGTAGTGTAGAAAGCTCCTTGTACCACTACAAGTTTTTGAAAGCTCCTCCCACACCCACATGGTATAGAAAGCTCCTCCCATGCCCACATGGTGTGGAAAGCTCCTTCCACCCCCACCTGGTGTAGAAAACTCCTCCCATGCCCATGTTGTGTAGAAAGCTCCTCCCAGCCCCATGTGGTCTAGAAAGCTCCTCCCAGTCACATGTGGTCTAGAAAGCTCCTCCTAGTCCCATGTGGTCTAGAAAGCTCCTCCTAGTCCCATGTGGTCTAGAAAGCTCCTCCCAGTCACATTGGTCTAGAAACTCCTCCCAGTCCCATGTGGTCTAGAAAGCTCCTCCTGTGCCCACGTGGTCTAGAAAGCTTCTCCCCCACATGTTGTAGAAAGCTCCTCCCAGTCCCACACGGTGTACAAAGCTCCTCCCAGTCCCATGTGGTTTCAAAAGCTCTTCTCACCCCCACATGATAGCACTTAGGCCTGTCAATAGGCCGCTCTGGCACACAAGGCTGCTTTAGCCAAAGACAGTCAGAGGTACCCCATATCAAGAAGTGTGGGGGGTATTTCAGGGGGCCCTGGCAGTGGATTATTGAGCACCCCGGGAAGATGACCAGTACCAGTCT